GAGTAGCTGAGCCAAGGGGAGGTTGGTTGATTGAGAGAAACAAGGGATTCTTGGTTAAACGAATACTTTGTTGGGGAACCAAAAACCTTAACTAGTAATCTCTTGGTCATTGAGCCACAAATTTTCCCTGGAAAGAATGCATCTCTTCCAGCAAAATCTTCCTGGGAGTTATGTAACAAAGGAATGAACTGAAATGAATGTGTGGAAGTGTTATTTAATGGTATAGTGTACTAGGAATTAAAGACTTGCAGCAGATTTCAAATCCCAACTCTTGATAAAACTTTTTAAAGATTGTGAAATTATCAAAATGCACATGAATCAAGTTTTATAATACTGTATGATGGGTAGATGAAGCTGTCCATTGTACCATTTCTTTCTTTGAATTCTCAGGCATGGTTTTGGCAATGCAAGAATTCTGTAACAGTAACAAATTCAATAAAAGGAAATCTATGGAATATGGAGTATATTCGTTTTTGTTCTTAATTCTTAATCCCATATTCTTTCTCTGAAAATGAATTGACATCATACCTCCTTTGCTTTGTTGGGTTTTATTGTCAGGTTTTGTTTGTTTTGGGGTGTTTTTTTTAAGCTTTGTTTTCGAGATGTTTGCTGAGCACTTTCTTATGAAGATGGGTGAGGAACTTACAGCGCATTGGCTGGCTAGACCCAGGAATCTCCCACAGGAACACCAAGAGAGAAGGGAGTCACGGACAGTAATTCTAGAACCCTGAGGTTTGGGGGAAATTAATGAGAGCAAAATAGACCCATTGAGGGAAGAAATGACCAAAGGACAGATTACTGTGGTGAAGCTGTTCTGTGAACCCCCTCCAAGCAGCCTCAGGGAGACTGGACTTGGGACCCCAAAACCTAGGTAAACCCACCCCAGTGTTTCATCTGCATCAAAGAGGGAAGTACAGTCTCTTCAAAATATGCTAACACTACAATTAACTGCTTTCTGAAAACCCCCCGGAGGGTCAGGTATGAGTCAGTTCCAAATCAGCCGTACACAGCAATATTGAAAACAAGAAATCTCTTGGGAACATGATCAAGCTTCATCTCTGGAACCCACAGCGGATCAAATTCAGAAGATGGATAGGAAGAGGCTCCAGATCATAAAAATTCAACTTCTGAATCATTTGCATTTTGTGGAATATTGTCCAGAAGATTAAGATGATCCATTTCAAGAATCTGCTTTAGATACAGCTTCCACACACGCTTCTGAAACTGGACTTGTGTCACAGTTGAACGTGTGATACATCTAGGGCCCTGCTATAATTACTTGAAAGGCTGACCCTTTTTTATTCTGACATTTTTGTCATGCAACTTTGACTTTATTCTGAGTTGTTTACTGTCAAATCGGAACCAACCCGTAACTGACTCAGGCAGCTTATCAGGGGCAGTTACCGAATGGGAAGAGATTATCCATCATTCTGCGGATTAGCTGGGGGATTCAGGATTGCAGCCCAGCTTCTGAGAACAGCAAGAAAATCTCATGGTCTCTAGAAGGAAAGAAATAAAATATATAGAAAGTATAGAAACTCAGGACAAGAAGGTGGTTCTTTGAAAGGATTAATACAGTTGACAAATTCAGAAGGAAAGTAGAAGACAAAAATAACTTGAAAAATAAATGGGCACTGTCACAAGAGAGCACACATAAAGATAGTAATTGACTACTACAAAGCTGTGTTGAAAACTATGTTCAGAACCAACTCATAGCTGACACTGGCAGGTCTTCAGAGGCAGTTAATCGCACTGCCTCTGGGAGGAGATTGCCCATCCTTATCCTGTGAAACAGCTGGTAGATTCACATTGTGGTGCAGCTTCTTACCACTAGGCCACTCAGGCAAATTCTTAGGAACTCACCCTACCTAAATTAACAGAAGTAGAACACTTGAACAGACCCTATCACAAAGAAATGGATCAGAT